AACTCTGTCCATCTGTGGTGGTAAAGCAAGTCTGTAGGCAACCTCTCCTACCCAATCCAAAATCTCGAATGGTCCAATAAATCGTGGCGATAACTTGCCACTCTTCCCAAATCTCATCAACCCCTTCCGTGGAGAAACCCGTAGAAAAACGTGGTCTCCCACCTCAAAGGATAACGGTCGTCTCCGCTTATCCGCATAGCTCTTCTGTCGGCTCTGAGCTGTAAGTAACCTCTGTCTTATCAACTTAATCTTCTCAGTAGTCTCGAGTACAATGTCGGGTCCTAAGGAGGCTGTCTCGCCTACCTCAGTCCAGCAAACAGGAGACCTACAAGGTCTACCATACAACGCCTCAAATGGAGCCATCTGGATGCTCGCCTGATAACTGTTATTGTAGGCAAACTCAATAAGTGGAAGGTGATCCTCCCAACTACCTCCCAAATCAAGTACACATGCCCGAAGCATATCCTCCAAAATCTGGATAGCACGCTCTGACTGACCGTCTGTCTGTGGATGGAATGCCGTACTAAGATGCAACGCTGAACCAAACGCTGCTTGAAGTCCTTCCCAGAACTTCGAAGTGAACTTAGCATCCCTATCTGACACAATGGTTACAGGGACTCCATGTAACCTTACAATCTCTTTCACATAAAATACACCAAGCTTCTCTGCATCGTCTATTGCCTTAATAGGCAAAAAGTGAGCCGTCTTGGTCAATCTGTCAATGATGACCCATACGGACTCATTGCCCCTTCGTGACCTTGGAAAACCTGTCACAAAATCCATAGCGATATGCTCCCATTTCCATTGCGCTACAGGTAATGGTTGCAACAAACCTGCTGGCCTCTGATGCTCGGCCTTCACCTGCTGACAAGTAAGGCATCTAGCCACAAACTGTGCAACATCATTCTTCATCCCGCTCCACCAATACTGACGTCTCAAATTGTGATACATTTTAGTACCACCTGGATGAACTGCAAAACGAGAAGTGTGAAACTCCCGTAGGACATCCTCACGACATACTGTGGGAACCACCAACAAACCCCTGAACCGTAGACCCCCATCTGCATGCAAGGCCCAATCTTTCACTGTCTCACCACTAGAGATCAAAGCGTGGATGACATCTAAGTCCGGGTCCTGTCTCTGTGACTCAATCACTCGTACAACAAGAGTAGGCTGAGCCACAAGACTAAATAAGAATGCCGACTCACTGTAACCATCATCATCAAAACACTGTAATCCCATCTCTGCCAGATCTTCAAGCATCTTCCACTTCCGAATAGCTAAACTGGACAAAGTTCCATGAGATTTTCTGCTTAAGGCATCAGCTACAACTTTTGCCTTGCCCGGATGATACTGCAAATCAAAGTTGTAATCTTCCAAGTACTCAACCCATCGTCTCTGTCTGTTGTTCAAGTCCTTTTGGAAAAAAAGGTACTTGAGACTTTTGTGATCTGAAAATACCTCGAATCTCTCACCATACAAGTAATGTCTCCAACACTTCAAGGCAAATACAACTGCCGCTAACTCCAGGTCATGAGTAGGGTAGTTGTACTCGTGAGTCTTCAACTGTCGAGACCCATAAGCCACTACTCTACCATCCTGCATCAACACACATTCCAACCCGTCACGTGCAGCATCACAATAGATCACATAACCCAAACCACGCTCAGGTATCACCAACACTGGCGTTGTAGTCAATCTCGTCTTCAACTCCTGAAAAGATGAATCACAGGCCTTATTCCAGACAAACTTGACCCCTTTCCGGGTCAAACGGGTCATAGGAGCTGCCAAACGGGAGAAATCCTTCACAAATCTCCGATAATAACCCGCTAAACCAAGAAAACTGCGGATCTCAAACACATTCTTGGGTCGCTCCCAAGTCAAAACTGCTTCAACCTTTGATGGATCAACTGATACTCCACCTTTTGAAACAACATGCCCCAAAAACTTCACCTCCTGTAGCCAAAACTCACATTTCTCGTATTTGGCATACAATCGGTGCTCCCGCAAAATCTGTAAAACAATACTCAAATGGACCTCGTGATCTTCCCGAGTCCGTGAGTACACAAGAATGTCATCCACGAAAACTACCACAAACTGGTCCAAGTAATCGTGAAAGACGCGGTTCATCAAGTCCATGAATGCCGCTGGCGCATTAGTCAAGCCAAAAGGCATAACAAGGAACTCATAGTGTCCATACCATGTACAGAATGTTGTCTTCGGGATATCCTCATCCCTAACCCGCAACTGATAGTAGCCAAACCTCAAGTCAATCTTGGAGAAACAACTGGCTCCCCTCAACTGATCAAATAAATCATCTATCCTTGGCAAAGGATAATTGTTCTTGATGGTGGCATGATTCAACTTCCGGTAATCAATGCACAACCTCAAAGATCCATCTTTCTTCTTAACAAATAAGACCGGTGTGCCCCACGGTGACACACTCGGTCGGATGAAACCTTTCATCCTCAAATCTTCAAGCTGCCTCTTTAATTCTTCCAATTCAACTGGGGCCATTCGATATGGTGCCATAGAAATCGGCGCGGTACCTGGCATCAAATCAATAGAGAACTCCACTCCTCGGTGTGGAGGCAACTCTGTCAAATCCTCCGGAAACACATCCAGAAAATCACGAACAACTGCAGGATAATATTTTTCCACAACATCATCATCTTCGGCTATAAGGCTAGCCAAAAAGTAATCACCACGACTCCGTCCACGAATTCCATAAAACGATGAAATGTGAGAATCACTCCGATCTCCCACGAAAAAGAAACAGTCTCCCTCGGAAGTGCAAACTGTAACCCTTCCTCTGTAACAGTCGATCGTGGCATGAAATGAAGCCAACCAATCCATCCCGAGAATGACATCAAAGCTAGTCATCTCCAGGAGGATAAGGTCAAACACGAAAGTCCGCCCGACTATCACAATGGGACACTCCCGCACAATTCGGGTCAAAGACACTAAAACCCCAACTGGCGTATCAACACTCAATGCCCGTTCCAAGAAACTAACTTCCAACCCCGATGCAAGTGCAAATGATGATGAAATGAAAGAATGAGATGCACCAGAGTCAAACAAAACACGAGCCCAACAACCAAACACTGGAAATATACCTCGAAGAACTGACGGTCCAGAAGATGCATCGGTTTGTGCCAGTGCAAAAACACGTCCCTGTGGTACCTGTGCCTGAGGACTGCCAACCTGAACACCTGACTGCTGCACTAACATAGTAGGAGTATCCCTCCTAACTGATCGTGAACCCTGTGAAGACATGGCAGGCTGTGGTGGTGGCGGTTTGAAACCTGACTGAACTGTAGCCGACTGAGACGGCCTCTGTCATGACCCCCTGCCACTACCTGTGCCTGCTCCCTGGCCTGGACAATCACGAATCAAGTGACCCTGCTGGCCACACCCATAACAAGCCTTCGGAGCTGACGAAACTGAAAACGATCTCATCGGACAACTGGACTTGTAATGCCCAGGCTGCTGACACTGATAACAAACAACTGCACTCCTGTCAGATCCAGCTAGCATAGGAGTGGAAGGAGCAGATCTTGTAAACTGTTGTCCCTGAAACTGAGATGAACCACCCTTGTTCTTCTTCCAAGAAGATCCCTCTGAAGATAGCCCTGCACCCCTCTTTTGCTTCCATTGTTCTCTTCTTGCATCTTTCTCTTTATTATCAGCCTCCAACATCAAAGCCCTTTCCACTGCTTCAGAATAAACCTTAATGAACTGTGCCATGATCAATGGCCTCATCCGATCATTAAGACCGGAAACAAACTTCCGAGTCTTATTAGCTTCATCTCTCACCACTTCTGAAGCAAAACGGGAGAGTGAGGTGAACTTGTTCTCATACTCCGCCACTGACATGCTCCCTTAAATAAGATTATGAAACTAGTCTTGTAACTCCCATCTTTTGGAAAGCGAAAAATACTTCTCATAAAACAGCTCCTTGAACCTGTCCCAACTCATCTCTTCAATCTTGTACTGGTTGGTGATCGACTTCCACCAAACCTTGGCATCCATAGTAAACTTGTAAATTGCTAGGATGATCTTCAAGTGATCCTCTGTCATATCCATTGAGGTTAGTTGGGTTTCAACTTGATCCAAGTAGTCATCTGCTACCATTGGATCCACACTGCCCTGAAACAATACCGGCATCAACTGAGAAAACCCTTTTATGATCTTGAGACGCTTCTGAGCTGGCGTCTCCTCAACTTGAACTGTAGGTTGTGGTGCCGACTGCGACTGAGCAGCAATCGTTGCCCTCACGACATTTTGCAACAAACGATTAAACTCCAGTGCCACAGAACCTTCACCCACTTCTACGGGTACGGGTGTTTCAACATTCTCTCTTCTTGGGGAAACAGCTCTTGGGGGAATCAAGTCCCTAAGAAGCATGTTCTCATCATTTAGCTCCTCCGGATTGGAGCTGGAGCTCTCACCAACATCACCCCTTGTTGGCCTAGGGCCAACTTCTCTAGGTTCCTCACGCCGTGACATCGTGCTATAAAACGAGAAAACGATTCAGAAACATAACACTAAGACTGTGGACGACTCAACAAGAATTGATACCATACAACACTTAGCATGCAAGACTATGCAAGAAACATTTTAACATAAACAAGTAAGCAGTAAGCACATAGGCAATTAAGCATGCTCATTTAAGTAAAATATCACGTAGCAAGTAGTCAAGTAAGCAACACAAACAACATTCCATGTGACCCTAAATAGGCCTCTACCCGTCGTCCTAAAGGTTTTTGAACCTTGGCTCTGATACCAAATTTGTGACGACTCAAAACTAATACTTTTTAAACAAAAAAAATTCGGCATGACCTCCCCTAAAAATAGGCCTATCACAACCTGTTTAATTTCATTTTTAACCTGTCATGGCTCAAATTCCGAATTCACAGCAACAAAAGATAATAATACAACTAACTAATCTAGACAATGCTTCAAACTAGGATTATCCATCCATTCATCAACAAGTTGCATACTATCAAATCCCCATCCAAAACATCATCAATACTTTAGTTATATTACATGACAAAGTTCCACAAAATAATTATACATCTTTGCACGTCTAGTGTTTTACAAAATAATGGGGAATATACAAAGATACAAAAGTGGACTTCTAACGCCGTTCAAGCTTGAGGTGGGTTGTCATCCACCAGTTCCTTTCCAAGACCTGAAAAAAATATATATAGATATAGGGGTGAGCATATAGCTCAGCAGGTGACACTTAAGACACAATTCTTGTGTCCTAGTGAATCCAAATAAAGCATAGGCCAATGGGAGATTGGGGACATGCATTGAAGGGGAAAAATAATCACAAGTACAAGTCAAATTCAATCACACACAAATGCAAATGGAGTGAGATGAAATGCATGCTAAAGTCACTCCCTGTTTTCATTCTCAAAACCATCACGTTCAAAGTTAATGTAACCCCCATTGGTAACCCCGCCGCGACGAGAGGAGGATTGGTTACCGTCCCTAGGCCCTTGGTGACCCCGTGGCACCGTCGAGGGGCCCGAATAGCTCAACCACCCTAGTGTACTCTCCCTAGTCCTCCCTAGGCTACATTAACCTCCGGGCCGTTGGTAACCCCGCAGCGACCGGGTTTGTCAAAACCAAATTTTTTTTTTTTTTTTTTTTTTTTCCAAAACATTCATTCCCAAATCCCCATTTTCATTTCAAGACAACCACTTCCCTTTTTCATGCAACCCAATGAGATGTAGGCTCATGTCATGATCTCAATATAATGACAAATGGGAACTTAGCACAATAATAAATAAGCATGTTCTCATGGCATCATTATAGCATGTTAGTAACCTCAAAAAAAAATGTAAACAACCATCACATAGACTTACTTTTCATTCAACTATGTTTTACACATTTACATAACTAGCATGTTGTCAATTAAATTATTTTAATCAAAATCAACAACAATTAAACATGATATAACACACATAGAGGAGCATGATTCATTATAGAGCAAGATTCCGTGGCTTAAGATGTCCCTACCTCACAATCCAAGCCGAAATCCCTAGAATAGGTCCTCCAAATTCAAGCTCCAAGGAAGACTCAAATCTGGAAATTGATAGTATGGATGCGTAGAGCTCGCTACAAGTTTCGCTTCGCCTCAAGCTTCGCTTCGCCTCAAACGGCACCTCAATCCGACAAAAGATGAAGGAGCAATCAACAATGGAAGTTGAAGTGAAAAGAAAAGAAAAAAGAAAAAAAAAAAAAAAGGAGAAACCAAGAGCAGTCGGGAGAGAGAGAGAGCAACAGAGACCAATTTTGGTCTCACAAATCACTTAAAAAGTGATGTGGGTCCCACTTTATTTTATATTTCTTTTCTCTTTTTCTTTTTCATTTAAATCACACACCACACACACACAATTATGTACACAGACTTCACAACATTGGCCCCGAAACACAATCCCGTGCACAACAACACCGGTAGCCTGGGACCTCCTGACCCAACAAATGGAAAAATGCCGAAATAATAACCAATACATTTTCAAAAGTCCTGAACTCAAGGAAATTTCCTAACCAACCTTCACAACTCACCCATGGAAAAATGCCGAAATAGTAACCAATACATTTTCAAGAATCCTGAACTCAAGGAAATGTCCCAACCAACTTTCACAACTCACCCGACACATTCCACGGTGTTAGACACACAAAACGAGACAATACTAAAATAAAAATGATTAAAATGAGGATCATTACATTAACCCTGTTAAATTCAAACGCCACTGGAGGCTTAAACAAATTACCTTATCATATAAGCAAGTGTATCTTGTGATCAATAATACCTGTGCCTTTCCAATTATATTTTGGAAAATGTATATGTTTAGATATCCTCGTGACAGTTGATTATTGAATCTCAGAGTGTGGTATGGGTGATCAAGTGTCCACCCTTGGAGATGTTTATAGCTATGGAATACTCTTGCTAGAGATGTTTATGGGCAAAAGACCAACCGATGACATGTTCAAAGATGGCTTAAACATTCACAAGTTCGTTGCAATGGCTTTGCCTGAACGTGTCCTGGACACAGTAGACCCTTCACTGTTCTTTGAGGAAGAAAACAACTTAGATGAGACTGAAGAAGCCAATGAAATAGAAGAAGAAGCAGCAATGAACAACAATGAACTCCAGGACAGCTCTAGGAGCAGAATGGAGGAATGCTTGGTTTCCGTGATGAAAATTGGAGTTTCTTGTTCTAATTCATTACCAAGGGATAGAATGCCAATGAATGTGGTGGTCAACAGAATGAATGTAATTAGAGACTCATTTCTTAGGTTTAAGAAACAAAATGGAAAAAGACTTAGATGAGGCTGTGATTTTCTTCAAATTTTGCTTCTTTCATCATTGCACTTGTACAACTTGTGATATTATGTAAGGAATGATATGAATATTGATTTGCTTTACCTACTGAGAAAGTTTATATACACACACTCATACAGGTCTTAAACAATCCTTCACCTGGAGTTTCTTGTTCTAATTCATTACCAAAGGATAGGATGACAATGGATGTGGTTTTCAACAGAATGAATGCAATCGGAGACTCATTTCTCAGGTCTAAGAAAAAGAATGAGAGAAGACTTAAATAGGGCAGTGATTTATTCATTTTATGCTTCTTTCATCATTACACCTGTTTAATTTGAGGTTATAGGCAAGGAATGACAAGAATATTGATTTGGTGTATCTACTGAAAAAGTTAGATCTAGCATTCTGAGTGGCCAAAACAAAAAATATTACCAAAGGATAGGATGACAATGGATGTGGTTTTCAACAGAATGAGTGCAATCAGAGACTTATTTCTCAGGTCTAAGAAAAAGAATGAAAGAAGACTTAAATAGGGCAGTGATTTATTCATTTTATGCTTCTTTCATCATTACACGTGTTTAATTTGAGGTTATAGGCAAGGAATGACAAGAATATTGATTTGGTGTATCTACTGAAAAAGTTAGATCTAGCATTCTGAGTGGCCAAAACAAAAAATATTGTTATTGTCTAGCATCAACAACTACTTTAGCTAAACTCTACTCTTCAAATTCCCTGCATTAGTATCACTCGAGTAGTCAATCTCACTACAACAGCTTGAGAAGATCCATGCGCACTTGAAGATGTGTTTGGTTCAATAGATCGATGAAGTATACAAAAATCAGCATGGTACAAACTACTTGTTTTACATATTTGCTTTCCATTTGTTTTATGTTATTAGTATTATTATCTTTTTATGTCAGCATTTTCAGGCGTTTGGTTGTCTATAAAGTGTTTTACAAAGATATTTGGAAAATGTGGAAGTAACATGCAAAACCTGAAATTACTTGAGAATTTCTTTTTTCTTTTGCAGTTGAACCATAAACTTCAAATCACTGTAGATAAATGACTAGAATAATTTTCAAATCTAGTTCTCCAATAAGAAAGAGTTCTAATCAGATTTCTCCAGAACAAAAGCACAAACTTTAGTTGTAAATCAAAATGATTGGGTACAATTAATTATAGTACAATTATACGTTATCTATATTGATCAAATCAAAAAGTATTAAAAAGGAATTTTTAACCATTGACATTATTTTGCACTGAGTGACTGCTCTCAAACCCTCACTCCCAAACCTCTCACTATATTGTGAATCAGCTAAAGGCCTGTTGAGGGCCAGACTCCATAACATTCCCACTGAGAGAATATATTCATATGTTTTCTAGTTAATTTGGCAGATAAAAAAACCTTCTGGCTAATTAAAATAGAGCTTTACAGGCTGATTGAGTTGAATATCATCCCAGAGCAAGAACAATGGCTCTGATCAATTGCAGTTCTTTGACGACATCTTTAATATCCATTCGCTCTCTAGGCAATTCCACTGAACAAGCAACTCCAATCTTGAGGACAGAAACCAAACATTCCTTCACTTGATCTACTTTCATTTGTCCCATGCAATCACTGTCCGCGCAAATTTCCTCAGCATCATCATCTTCTTCTTCTCCTCCTCCACCAGGTAGAATTATTGGATCTGAAATCTCCGCTATTCGTTCAGGCAGTGCCATCTTCACAAAAGTATGGATATTCAATCCTTCGTTGAACATTCCATCAGTGGGCCTCTTTCCTGTAAACATCTCTAACAGAAGGATACCATAGCTGTAAATATCACCATATGTTGACACTTTGCTTCCCATGCCATACTCTACAAAACTCAATTGTAACTTGAAATTGTTAGAACAAATTACACAGCTCTCTACAAGTATACAATATGTAGAGTAGTAATTTGTTTTTGATGCATATGTAAGTACTATATTCATTTAATAGACTGATATTTAGAAACATGTACTTTATAAAGGTTCAAAACAGCAAGAATGTGGCAAGAAAGAGAAGAAATAGGGTCACCTGGTGCAGCATAACCAATAGTTCCCTTTAAACCAACCGAGCTGCTTTGATTTGGATGAGATCTATCCATGGCTTCTAGAATGAACCTTGCTAACCCGAAATCACCTACATGAGCAGTCATTTCATTGTCGAGAAGAATGTTGCTAGGCTTCAAATCACAATGAGCAATAGGCTTGTGGCTATGGTGGTGAAGATAATCTAGTGCAGAAGCCACATCAATGGCAATATTTACCCTTTGGAGAAGGCCTAATATCCTCAGATCATCATTCAAGACCTCTGCTCTTGGATTTGGATGTAGCCAACTCTCCAAACTCCCATTTGGCATGAACTCATAGACTAATGCTTTGAAATCATTGCCTTGAAAATCAATACTAGAGCATGCAGTTAAGATTTTCAGAAGATTTCTATGCCGGATGTTTCTTAAGGCTTCACACTCAGCCATGAAGCTCTTCAAAGCTCCTCTCTGCTGTAGGTATAGTACCTTCACTGCAACAACCGTTTCATCTGGATCAATGACTCCTTTGTACACAGAGCCAAAGCTACCAGTACCAATTAAATTTGACGAAGAAAACCCCCCTGTAGCTTTGAGAAGACTTTCATAGGTTACCATCAAAAGCAGGTCTTTCCTTGATGAACCTGATAGAGAAGGCTCCTTCTCTCTCTTTGTTTTCCTTAACCGATAAATTATTAGAAGTGACACGATCAAAACAAGAACCAGAAGCCCAGAAAGTAGTGGGATCATTAGCTTGAGACCCCGAGAAATGCCTCCTTTCTTAGAGACACTATTCAGGCAAGCCGGCAACTTCAATTCTGGTATACCCCCACAAAGCTTACTATTTCCAGCTACGGAAATTGCAGTAGCATTTTTGAAAACCCCTCTTGTTGGTAGTTCACCATCAAAACGGTTGAAAGACAAATTCAAATTCTTGATGGGAATTTGCTCCAAGTATTCTGGAATTGCACCAGACAAGTTGTTGCGTGAAAGGTCTAAATCTTGAAGACCTCTCAGAGAACTAAAAGCTAGAGGAATGGAACCTTCAAGGGAGTTACCCTCCATACGAAGGCGTTCCAAGGTCACACAAGTACCAATGCTGTTGGGAATTTCACCAGACAATCGGTTCTCAGAAACATCCAAGTAACCAAGGTTTTTCAATTCACCTACTTGTGAAGGCAGGGGACCAATCAATTGATTTTGACCAAGGTTCAAGGTAATCGTTAGGGAGGAAATTCCCATAACGTTTTTGGGTATGGTACCATTAAGACGATTTTGAGAAAGGTCTAGCTCTTGCAAGTATCTAAAATTCCCAAAACTAGAAGGAATGCTCCCAATTAATTGGTTCTTTTCAAGATAGAGAGCAAACAATTGAGTTATGTTAGACAGAGACGATGGAATGTGTCCTGAAAGCTCATTTTCAGACAAATCCAATCGTCCTAGCATCTTCAGGTTACCAATGCTAGTGGGAATACTACCTGTTAACTTATTTTTCTGCAATTGTAGTTCGGTCAAGTTAAAGAGGTTTTCTATCCCACTAGGAATGTTTCCTGACAATTGATTGCCTCCCAATCTTAATGTCAAAAGACTAGGTGACAAGTTTGCAACAGATTTAGGAATGACCCCTCCAAACCGACTATTACTTAAATCCAACACTTTCAGCTCTCTGCATTTAGCCAATGACTTCAAGAAATCCAAGTCATCAGCTTTTCCTTTCCCTAGGGGATTGGAAGAAAGAACCAACCACCAAAGACTGGGTAAGCCCCCAAAATCAGTAGAAACCTTTCCAGTGAAATTACTTGTATCAATGTCCAATTCAACCAGATTTGAAACATTGGATAAGGACACTGGAAGAGGTCCACTAAATTGATTGTGACCCAAATTCAGAACTAACAAATTAGGGAGAGTGAATCCCAAGTCTGATGGCAAAGTCCCATGTAATTGATTATAAGGCAAAGCGAGTCTTGTGAGAGATGAAAGATTGTAAATTGAGGGAGGGATTGTACCCGACAACGAATTCACTCCAATTCCGAGAAATTTCAGCGTTTTCAACCTGCCAAGCGAGTCAGGAATGCTTCCTTCGAAATTGTTGGCAGACACAGAAATAGTAATGATATTGGAAAGATTGCCAATAGATTCTGGTATTGGACCTGTGAAACTATTATAGTGAAGTTGAATTCTCTCTAGCTTTTGCATAGAGCCAATATGAAATGGGAGCTTCCCAGTCAATGTGTTGAAGCCCGTTCGGAGGAGAACCAGGCTAGAGCAGCCAGTAAGATTTTCCGGTAGCTCACCGGAAAACGTGTTGTTGCTGATATTAAGGTGTCTGAGCCTAAAGAGTCTCCCTATTTCAGGAGGGACTTGACCATGGAAATTGTTGGCTTCAATGTTGATAGCAGTGAGGAAGGTGAGGTTTCCTATATGAGGTGATAAAGTGGCCACCAAGTTAAGGGAAATTAGGTTGAATTCAGTGACTCTTTGGTGAAGATGACCACAAGTGACACCTACCCATTTGCAGAAATGGACTGAATCATTCCAGGAATTGGTGATTCCAAGTGGGTCTTGGGTTATCTTAGCTTTGATGGCTAATAAGGCAAGCCTATCAGTCTCGTTACTACTAAGAGTTGTAAAAGCAGAGGTGAGAGATGGTGATTGCAACAAGGTTATGGTGCTCGGTAGAAGAATTGAATAAAACAAAATTGAGCAGATTAGGATTGGAGTCTTGAATGGCAGAGAAGACACCATTGCTGGGTTTGAGAGAAACCAACTTGTAGGGCTGGGTCTGTGAGAGAAGTGGGTGTATGTCTGCTCCTTGGAGGTAATATTTTATATATTAGGATTTTCTTGTCAAATCTGTCTCTGTTCAAAGCTGAATTACAATTTTACCCTTGTTTCCAATTTTGTACTTAAGATTTTTATTTAAATAATTAATTTTAAAAATTAAAAGCCAACTTATGTAAATTTAATAAAAAATATTTTATCAATTAGTATGATTTTTTTTTATAATTAATTTCAACAAGAAAAATAGATCAAGTGTAATTCAATAAGAAATTATACTTTGGTCAATTAATAAAAAAATAGTCAAGGTAATGTAACATTTTGCAACTAAATATGATAATTCAGGAATTTTTATGCACAAAAATTAGTTCATGGTGATTATTTGAAAATTTAGGCATTTAACACTTTACCCTTAAATTAATCACTTTGTTTGATGGAAGTCCAAAATTTGTGTTATTCTTAGCATAAGCATAATGTACATCTATAACATGCTTTGAATATTAATCGATGTTCGGGTTAAAAGCTCTTTCAGCATAAAATCAGAGCTAGGTTGAGGCTGGTAACTACTTCTGGTAAAGAAAAGGGCGTTTTCTCATTCCAATGTGAAAGCGGCTACCAGAAAATAATTATCATTGTCCTGTCCGACTATAGTTTGGAAGTTTCCGTAGATTTTATGCCCACAGACACAGTCGCATGGGTACGACTTGACTTGATTCCCACGGTTCGAGCCAACCTTGTCAACTGCAACAATTGTTGACCCTTCGATGCACAACTCTCTCTCTCTCTCTCTCTCTCTCTCTCTATATTACTCGTATATGTGTAGTGCGGCGTGTGAGAGAGTTTTTTTTCTAACGCATTTGAATTGTTCAGATATGTTTTGACTGATAATTCAACAAATCAATAATAATTAGAGCCCTTGTACAAGAAACTTGAGTCCAAGAACCAAATCTCACCAATAATACATTATTATAGTGTAGAGTAATTAATTATAGAGACCTTGTACGAGAAACTTGAGTCCAAGAACCAAATCTCACCAATAATACATTATTATAGTGTAGAGTAATTAATTATAGAGGAAGAAGGCACTACACTTATATATATATATATATATATATAGAGGGTAAAGTGCAAAAAAAACCCCTGATCTTTACTCTCTCTCCCAAGAAACTTCCTGAATTTTTATTTTTTAAGTAAACCCCCTGAACTATGGCAATTTTGGAAAAAATCCCCCAACCATCAATGTTCCGTTAGCTTGTCCACCTAAAATTGGTCTGTGACGTAGCAAAAATTAAAAATGACAAAGATACCCTTAGTACAATAAAATTAATAAATTATTTTTTTAACCCCAAATCAATGGACAGAGACGATGCACTGCCTCTCGCCGAACACCACCACCTCCTCCTCCTCCTCAGCCAATCTCACCTCGCCATGTGTCCATTCTCCGACGACACACTCCGTCGCTTCTGCCGCAATAAGGGTATCTTTTCAAGAAAAAAAAAAAAAAAAATCAACTCCATTCTCTGTAATCGATTCGTTCTCAGTTGTTGTGATCTGCAATCGATTTACACACATATATATGAACGTATATAAGACGTTCGAATTTGTGAGAAAATCAATTATTTAACTACTGGACTTTGACTCTCTCATTCATCAACCTCATCGTATTTTTCATCTTCCTTGTTCTTCCTCTATATCACCGTTGTAGGTGCAAAATTTCACTCAACCAATAACGATTAAGAGAAATAAAACAACTCACTCAATCAGCAATAAAAATAACCAAGAACAGTATATAGAAAAGCGTAAAATTGTTTGGACGCTTGGGATCCCTTTTATTGGAGGTCTTGGTCTCTATTTATACATAAAGAAGTAGTAGAATTATGGTAGAACTCGCATTGCTTGTCCTCTAATTCTTTCCATGTATGACTTTCTTTACAATTAGAGTTCTTTCTATTATTTAATTTTTTATGCACAGAACTTGCTTTGTGTAGAACTTCCTATTACAGAGTCTTCCTTCTATAGTAAATCCTTCAACTTATAGGATTTGTCCAATCTTGAATAATTGGGCTGGCTATACCTTTAACCGGGTAGGCTTGAATAACGGGCCGGATGTTGATATTAGCAAATCGGGTTAATAACCTTTTGATTCGGCCTGGATAAAGGTTGGAGGGCAAATAACAGTGATCATGGGCTAAGAATACATTCAATTTGGGCTTGAGCATGACGGGCCTTTGAAAGACAGATTTGCATCCGTGATGACGTGGAGTAATCTTATTAGAGGGGATTTTTTCCCTCCACACTTTGCCCCCAATTCCTCTTTAATTGGACTACGGCTCCTAATTAAAGGGAATTAAAGTTGTGCAGTTACCACTTTTGCATGAGGCGTTTCCAGTTGTGTCTATTGTTATTATGACTCAAGGACTTCTTCTAGACTTGCTTTTGTTCTTACTGCGCTCGTTTCGTCCCTTGCGTTCTTCACATTCTCATATCACCAGGTTAGTTCTTCATCTTTTTCTGTCAATCTTGCATTATGAGTACTTCGACTACTCCTGATCATGTAGAAATCGCGGATTCTGAATCCATGCTCTCGTCTTCTTCTAACCTCATTAGGGTTCCTCCTCTTAGGGTTTCTAACTTCCTTAGATCTGCAAATGACTCGGCCAATCAGCCGGGTATTTCTCCATTCCAGGCTGAGACATCCACCTCTGGGTCGGATAGTGTTTTTACTAACGAAGAGAGAAATGCAATTTTATCTGTTCGTCGTATTAAGTTTTCCATTGAATCCATAATAGAGGATTTTGAGATTCCCGAGGAGGTAGAAATTGTAGAATACCCCAAGGGCGCCGATTTTTGTGCCGGTGAGAGCGTCGGTGATGACGAGTTGCTCCTCTCTGTTGGGCACCTCAACGCTTTTCGATTCCCCCTTCACCCTTTTTATCATTTAGTTTTTAACAAATTAGGGATTGCACCCCTACAAGTAAACCCTAACTTCTTCCGAATAACCTTGGCATTCCTAGCTCGCCGAAGGCTGGAGAGTCTTGATCTGACTCTTGCTAACTTGCTGATTACTTATGCTATTTTCAAGCACGGGACCGAACCTGGTCGCTTTTACTTTACCTCTTCCTCGCACCAGAGGATATGTACAAACCTCCCTTCCTTTGAAAAGAAGTGGATAGAGAGGATGATAACCGCTAAAGGGAAATGGGCTGTATCTCAATCGAGCAAGCTCCCAATCCCATGCAAGTTTGGGAAGCTAGGTATAGATTATGCCCCCTCTCTACATAAAAATTGTTCTGGTTGTTCCCCATGTCGAGTCTTACTCTTTCTTTATATTTATGAATTTCTTGGTCTTGTTTCAGTGACATTTCCTTCCTCTACTGCCAAGAAGAGACTTTCCTTTCTTGAAAAGCAAGTTTGGTGCGAGCCCCCTTCTATTGAAGATTTGCTTACTTCGGCAAACCTTAAGGAAATTGTTTCTAGAGCTGTAGCTGCAGACCTCATGGATCTATCTCTACCGACCTTTGACAGCTTCTCAATGACTGAGGAAGAAAAACAGAGGGCTAAAGCCCTAAAGAAGAAAGCTGTTAAAGATAGGCCTTTGGTAGTCATCAGATCAAATGAGCATGAGACAGAGGTTGATGAGCCTCATTTGAAGAAGACTAGGCCCAATCCACCTTCCTACGGCAAGAGTAAGACTTTCTCCAAGAGAAAAGGGAAAAAGGCTGAAGAAACTGACCCTGAGGAAGAGGTCAGAGCATATGTTTTGTCTGAGACTGGGGCACCTTGGACGCCTTCTTTCTCAAGAGCTGATAAATCGGTGCTTCACTCCGGTGATTCTATGATCACCGACCCATCTGCTGCACTAACAGTTGCTAGGGGGATGTGGTTTCTCAAAGATGAAGAAATTATTGGTAGAATGGGATTGGAACAGTTGCTTCCATCTGCCCCTATTCGAGCCATAGAGGTTTGCTCTTCCTTCTTCTTCTGTTCTCTTAACTTTCTTCTCCATTTTACTTACATTGCTATTTTTACTATCTGATGATGTAGGGCTTGTATCATACTATGGCTCTTTGTGCCACTGCTGAGGCTCAGTCTCTTTCCATTAAGAAGTTGGAGAAAGACCTTAGCAATTCTGAGAAGAAAACTTCAAATGCATCTTTGAATGCTGAGATTGCTTCCGAAGCGAGGGATGTCTACATGAAGTATTTGGCCGAGTCTGCATCTAAAGTGGAGACATTGGAAGCTGAAATCCAGCGTCTTAACGAGGCAACAAAAACTTGTGTCATTGCTGGGAGACAGATGCAAAGCCGTTACTCCACTTTCGTGCGTTTGTCAAGTGCAAAAGCCTATCGATCTGGCTTTAATCAAGGCTCATCCAGAAGATCCTCCAGCTCCAAGTTCATCAACTCCTTTAGCTGCTCTTGGCCCCTCAATTCCTCCAACTTCAAGTCCAGCTGTGGTGGACGCTTTTGAATCTGCTCCGTTTGATCCGAAAAGGAAGTAGAGTCGTGTAATCTTGTTCTTTGTAATGAAACAATACTTTTAGAATGATATAACTCTGTTTTACAGGCTGTGATGCCTTAATTTTGCCTTGATTGAATATTCCCGAATGCTCTTAATATTACACACACTTTACTGAGCGGTAATGTTTTGAGTAAAGTACCCTGTCTAAGGGTTCCATATTTGTTGTAGTTCGAAGCAAATATAGATAAGAGGTGAAGAAGGGATCTCCTTTGACAGTTTACCTGATGTCTGAGGATTATTTTTTCCTCTAGTGACTTAACCGTTAAGGGAACCCTTCTTGCCATGGATTTGTGTAGAGTAAATATGTATATACTCGTTTCTTCTTGTATTTTTTCGATGTGGGACAGCTCCGTGGCTCATACTAATGGGCTTAAGGTGAGAGCCAGCCAATTCGATTTCCACAGGACATTTGCTCTAGGCACCTTAAAGCCTGAGACGATTGGTTCCTTTGTTTTGAACCCGAAGAGTAATGTATTGAGCAGGACA